AACTTGAATTAAATCCAGATTCCAGGGTATAAACACTTGGTACTTCTGTAGCCACCAATGACTGAAAATACTGTTTTCAATTTTGGCTGTTTACTCTTCATCTGAGTCTGTATACTACTGATAAATCGTGTCAGTAGCACACACCACACTACCGTGGCTACGTGAGGTTTAGGAGTGCGTTGGCAGGTACTCGAACTTTGAACCACTACATGAGGTATGGTTGGTGAGTATTCTTACGGTTGAATCGCCGACGAATCAGGCAACATACACACTCACACGCACACACTTTTTGTTTGCACATTCAGCATAAGCGTATTATTCCGCATGTTAAACATTTTATAAGGGGGATAAATAATAATAGTAATTTACCTTTTTTTCACCTACACGTGGTTACAAAACTTTTAAGATCGTCCTATTCCACAGTGTGTTCTGTGTGCATGTACGTGTGCGTGTGTATCAATCTATCAATGCTGATGTTTGCAGTAGATACCGAAAATAATTTATTGTTGTAAAAAACTATTACAAAGTCAAATAAATATATAAATAAACATGTATACTTGACGACCAGATGAAAAAACTCAATAAAATCACCTACACATACACACGCACTCATAAATGTGACAGATCTCTCCACCCTAATATACTCTTGAATGTGTCACCGACTGATGGAAAGTAGTAGTAATAATGACAATAATAATAATAAAGCAACTATTGTCTCACCAGTTTCCTCAATAGTCTCTGATCTTTTCATGAACACATTTGAAGATAACATATTTTGGAACATGCTTGTGCCTTAAAACTGTGACTGAGATATACGTTGACGTTACTTTCGTTGTGCTAAAATGAGATTTACACAGTTCACCTATCTTCCAGGAGGCAGTTCACTTCAGAAGCAGAATGAGACTTCAGTGAGCTGCCCTTTCTAGACTGCTTAGTTAAGTGGAAGGAAAACGGATATTTTAATATATCCATTATATTCAGGAAGAAAATACCCTTCAACAAATATGTAAACTTCGGGTCATCACACCCTAATCAGCGCAAAAGTATCAGTTGTTTCAAGTCTTCTTCGACGAGCACAATCTTTAATGTTAACAGATGAGAAGGAAAATGAAGAAGAAATATCAAAAATTACTGAAATTCTCTAGGAAAATAACTATCCAAAGACGTTCACTTACAAAATCAACACCGACATTACGTATGGTCGAAGACTTATTCTGAAGACACGGGATTCAACAGTTATCATTCCACGTGGATCAGAAACGTCGGACAATATGAGAAAGGGACTCAATAAGCACAACATCGGAGTTTTCTTCTAAACATCAGACACACTAGACAGCAACCTTGTCCATGTGAAAGATAGAATTCCAAAGGATACTCAATATAATTGTGTCTATAAAATAAAAATGCTTGCAATGTCATGCAATATATACATCGGACAATCATCACAAGAAATCAAGGCAATCCGAAGGAATCAACACCATAGACCATCTGTTCGACCACCGAGAAATCCAGTTGAACTAGCCATAGGTCGTCTAGACGCTATAGAATCAGGTCACAAAATTGATTTCGACAATATATTGAAATATTCCAGAGAAAATTCCAAAAATCACAAGTAACATCTAGTGTCACAGAAGCACTTCATGTTGATGAATGGAATCTGAATTGTCCAAGTAAGAATGACCGACTAAGACTGAATTTCACTTGGTTCCAGCCAACCCCATGAAGTGATAGAAAAAAATCAACACAAATTTGTGACTAGCAACTTTATTGAGTAAACACATGCTGCTTTTATAATTTTATATGCTTTATCATATGCTTTATCTCATGCTGGAAAACCCGTGATTAAGTTACTCTATATAAACTGAGCTTAATATTGCTTTGATAAAGCTATTCAGCATTTAATGGCAAAACGTCAGCAAGAACAAATATCGTTTTGTCTTTTTTTATTCATTGGGAAATACAAAGACTTTTATAACAATGAAATGTCTCATTTAGTTTCATTATAGAAGCCACACTTTACAACAAGAGAACTATAGTACATTCCAGTAGGCAGTGTCTATTAGACTTTATGTAATAATAATAATATCCAACATAAAATCGATGATCTATCTATCTATCCATCACATATAAAGAGACAAGATTAAACTAGTGTCACACTTTCATACTGAGCATCACCATATGAGCATTTTGTGCGAACAAGTACATTATTTTAGGAAAAGTACACAAAAATCCAGCTGATAACCATCAATCCGTGTTTGTGCGTGTGTGTCTGTCTGTCCGTGTGTATGTGTGTGTGCGAAAGACGACAAAAGGACTCACAAATAGACAATTCAAAGAAGAAGAAGAAAAAGAAAAAGAAACTATTCGAATAAAAACGATAATTTTTAATTTCCCTCAGACAAGACGGTAATATGATGCATCCTACAGAGATGTCTGTAGTCAAGTGATGAGTAACACACACTCACACGACACACCGCCTCTCACCCGTTGCACCGCACCGCACTTCACTTCTCACTTTTTTTATTCCTTCACTGTCACAGTAAAAACACACACTGGGTCTATATTGTCTTCTTGTTAACAAGCAGTTAATGTCTCTAAAAAGAACAATATTATCCCCGGGCTTAATAAGCAAATATTAACTTTGAAATATACTGCTTATTAACACGGTATGCCTAACCACTAATTGCTGGGATTTCGGTATGTTTCAAGGTTGACCAAGAGATGGAAAACCTATGAGTTCCGGACAGCTGGCTTTGTCCTAGTTTCAAACCAGTCAGAAGTATTCAACCACCAGGGTTTGAACTCAGGACTTACTAGTTAGAAGGCGAGCTCGTAGACCATTCAACCACAGAAGCCCACACCGTGAATTCTAAATTCTACCAATTGAATTCACGGGCATTTGACACAAGTCCCACCCGGTGGCTGGATGACCTATGAGCTTGACTTGTAACCGGAAGGCCCTAGGTTCGAACCCTGCTGAACGCGTACTGTTGAAGTTTCTCATATTAGAACGGAGGAAACAGTTGTCCAGTACTTCTTACTGGTATTCCAACGGTTCTCTAACCGATGTCAGTTTGTGATTAAACCCGAAATTAATTATTGTGGTTTGTTCCGATTGGACACTAGTTAGCAATGTGTCTAGTCCATTGTTTGGTGTGGTGCAGACTGACTTCCATCAGTCACGTTTGCAATGTCGCCATCACAGTGGACTTTATTTTTGTTGATATTAGATGATTGAAGGCAATCGGCAGGAATACTTGAACCTAGATTTCGCGCTACTTCGCACTCGCCGGTCAGCAGGGCAAATTTACAAGCTTTAAATGATTTATGTCCCTTCTAAGACTTGAATCCACGTCACCCAGTGAGTGATGCAGTCGGCGACGTCACCACTGGTCTACTCGAGGTTGCAATTGACCTCCTGTCCTTTATTCTGAGTGTGTGTATTCTTTGCCAAAAACTGTACAAGCTTTAATATTTTTTTTGATTACAGCTTGATTCCACACCATACGTTTTGGTACAAGTGTGGTGAGAGCTGGCTGCTAGCCAAAGTTGGTAGACAGTAAATGATGTCAATGTTTATGTTCCCAATATTGGTGGTGAGAAAATGAGAACAAAGGCTTTGCGTAGGCGGATACAATTAGCATATAGATGATCTGACACAGCCACAAAGAGATGCAAGGTTAACTTTCTGTGAGAAACAACCAATCGAAGACTGTATTTTCTACTAACAATAATCTACAATAATGTACAGTAAAATCTCTAAATATGTGTTGATTTTCCTTAATAAACGATCTGTTGCCTGGCCCTTGTCTTCTGTTGTTACACAAGTACGGAATTTTCAGCATGCGATATCGGTAGCCCAAATTTCGCAGGCCAACCATAGATATCAGGTGTGCATTGGCAGGGCATCGAACCCCGGACCATGTGCATGGTCGGCGAGAGTCCTAACCACTGTGCTACCGACGCACAGCCGACAGGATCTATGAAGCTATAGGCGATAGAATTAAAAACGAAGCATTACTCTAAGTGGGGTAGATTGGGTGTGAGGCTGGTGCTTCATTGAATAAAGCACTCAACTTTAAGCCTATCCTTTCCCGGATTTTAATCCCAGCTCCAGTGTAACAACCACTCTTTAGTCAGTTTACTAGTATCAAACAACACACTAAGTTCTGTCCTTTACTCTACCTTTGTGTGCGATATGCAGTGTGACAAAACGAAATTATCATTAATCTCTTCGAGGAAACAATTTTCCTGTTGTCATTTCAGATAACCGACAAAAAAGCAAGCAGAACTTCTTGCCTTGGTCAGCGCACTTCCTTCCTTCGTTCCTTTCTTGAAGGCAACTGCAGCCTAGCACGAGTTTCCAGTAGAACACAGGTCTTCAAGTTTCAGACTGGAAGTTTCAGTAGCAGTGGTGTTTTTGTCTATTATTTAACGAGATAAGGTTGGCAACCTGATACCCGAACTATCCTCATTATCAGACAACTTTCTACCTGCAAAGCGAGGTCGAGGAGTGTGTCTACCGGGAATGGAACTCCGGAATCACATACGTGTACTGCCATACGTGAGCATTCCACCGTTGAAACGCCGACGCGCCTGACTGACTATGCTTCATATTTGAAATCTAGAGATTAATAATTCCACTCTGTTTACTAAGTATATAAATGGTTGGAGTGGATATTTTTCTCCTCACAAACAAACCACTCAGATAGACTGTCTAATACACAAGAGGAAACAAGGCTACAAGGTTTCAGGGTTAAAATACCACTTGTAATCGGTAAAAATGGCATAACACTACAGCCATCAATTCAAATATACTCGATCTAGTCTAATTTGACTAGCACAATAATGGCTAGGTTGTAAATGACACAACAATTTACGAATGAAAAGAAAAGAAAACTGCTGACTCATCACTTAATTTCACACAATTTCAATAGTCCCAGTAAAAATTAACACCAGCAGCAGCAAAAAAAGAAACACAATCACTTGTAAAAACTTACCGAAATGGTAGGAATGGTCGATTGTCATTCAGTGTCAAGTGTTTATACGCTTCTTCTGGTGTCCGTGATAAGTATATGATTTGATAACTTCCGATAAGAAATGCAGCATTCGCGCGTTTACGAGCATCATAAGATGTATAGTGTGCAATCCGTTTCTCGTTCAAATTGGCCGACTAACATTGTGTACATGAAGAAGAAAATAACGTGGTTAGTTTTGACATTGTCAGTTTATAATACACGTATACCGATAATAAATATGGCTATAGAGGCAGTCAGAAACGAACTCATTTGTGACCAAGAACTCGAACTTAGGACAAAAGTGCCACTTGAAGACATAATGCTGGGAGTACAGTTATGCCTGACTTCCACAGTATTTAAATTCCAAGGGAAAATATACAAACGAACTAAGGGAGTTGCCATGGGGTCACCAATATCTCCAATTGTGGCAGATATATTCATGGATAGGTGGGAAAACATAGCGATTGAAACGTTCAACCCAACCCCAAAAGTATGGTTGAGGTACGTAGATGACACATTCACTGTACTAAGAACACAAGATATAGATAGATTTTTCGAACACATTAACTCGAAGGTTGAAGCAATTCAATTCACTTATGAATTGGGAAACCAGTAAGGGGAGCTCCCAATGTTAGATTGCAACGTAAAAAGGAAAGAAGATGGGAAGTTAAACACTAGCATTTACAGGAAACCTACACATTCAAACAGATATTTGGACTTCCGATCATCCCATCCTATGTCATTGAAAATAGGATCGGTGAAGTGTTTGACTAATAGGACCAAAAACCAAGCAGTACCAAGGAACATCTAAGACAGGAAGTGAGGCATGTAAGAGAAGCTTTGAAACTTGATAATTACTCTGACAAATTAATCAGGAAGTATGCAGGAAAACGTAAAAATAAAATAAATAATAATAGTGATAGTGATAATAATAATTTTAATAATATTAATGACGACATGCATGTCAAACATGCGCAGGATAATAACAACGCCAACAATAAGGAATCTAAATCATCAGTAGTAATTCCATACAAGGAAGGAACCTCGGAAAACACTTTACGCAGAATTCTTAACAAAACAGGAATAAAAGTGTCTGGCATTCAAACCAACCACAAACTCAATTAGAAACAAGCTTTGTCGGTTAAACGATCAATCCTGTGGAGTAGATAGAACAAAACAATTTAGTTTATCTAACAGCCTGCCTGAGATGACTGTCAGGTCAAATACATAGGTCAAAGTAGTAGAACAGGGACAGTGAGTCAGACTAGCCGAGCATAAAAACCTAGCAAAATCTAGATTAGTTGATCCGAATAAGATAAGAAATCTAGAGAATAGTGCAGCAGCTATAGCAGTCACTACCTTCAATTACACACAACCATACAATAGGATGGGATGGGATAAGATGACAGTTTTGAAATCTAATGTCACAGGGTGGCGAGTGAAGAAGATTGATAACAGAAGCTTTGTTTATCAAATCAACTGCAAACACGTGTAAGAGGAATGATTCAACACCTCTCTCAGACATCTGGAAAATTCTACTGCAACCCCTTCGACGAAAAGGAAAGAATCAAGAAAACGATAAAACTAAAGTTTCGAAGTTGTGTGGTTATAATTGGCGATATGATTATGTACAATAAATTTTTTTTCGAAACGTTTTCATCCAGTAAATAACACTGTTTCACTGTGTGATACGTCGAATAAACAAATTAATATGGAGAAAAAAAAGGACAATTGAGTGTGAGACAGACGGGGAGAGAGAGAGAGAGAGAGCGAGAAAGATTTAAAAGTGCAACAGAAATTATTATTATTATTATTATTATTAATTATTAACATTACCTTGAGCTTTTTGTTCAACTTATTGCAATACTTATACAACTGGCCAAGACTTAATGGTCCGAAATCGGTATAAAAGCTAAGGGTGGGTTGAGGGGAGGTGGGGGGGGAGAGAAAAAGAAGTGAGCGATAGATGCAAATTGCCAAATCAACACAACATACTTTTCATAGCACAATTCATCATCTGTTGAAAAGAAATGAATCACAGAATTGCTTCTCGGTGGCGTTTTACAGGATAAGAAATAAAGACGATCTAAAAGAAACAAACGAACAAACAAAACAAAACAAAATAAAACACAAAAATAAACATACGGTTTACAGGTGATGTATGATAATCATTCTATGGTGAACAAGTTTATTTCAAATATCACACACTGATGATGCAGTATTAGTAACCGGATGACACGGTTTCCAGCAAACATTATTGCTACTGATAATCATATCAGTTTAGTTACACGCAACACAATTTATCTTGCGCATATATTTTCTTTCTGTCTGTCTCTCCAACTTCCCCCTGTTGTTTGTTGCCACTTTGCATATATCCGATATATGGACGTTGGGTCATTTTGATTGCACGTGTCCGATGTTGAATTGAAAAAAAAAACACAGTTTGTTTGTACAAACAAATGAAAGGGGTGGCATTAGGATGAGCAACATCCTCAACAGTGGCAGACACATTTATGAACACCTGGGAAACATAAAGCTTTTAGAACGTTTAATCTAACTCCACCTAGGTTATGGTGGAGGTATTTGTGGACGACACATTCCATCACTGTGTTCAAATCACAAGGTATCCCCTTCAGATTTTCACGCACATAAACCCAATAGTAGACAGAATACAATTCACTTTTGACTAACAAAAAGAACAGGGTGAGTTGGCTATGCTAGTGCTTACAGGAAAGCGACACACTGTAATAAATGCTCAGACTTTTATTCGTCCTAACCAGAATCGATGAAGATAGGTCTAGTTAAATGTCTATATCATACAGGCCAGCAGGCCAACTAATAAGACAGAAAGAAGATTTAAATAGTGAAATCTAAGAAATAAGGCAAATATCACTAGCGAATAACACACTAACTAGCAGAATTTATTCAGAAGGGGATGAAGACCCTTAGGAAAAACGAGATGAGTAATGAAAATGACGAAAATAATACAGAATTCAAAGCCTCTGTAGTACTTCTGTATAAAGAAGGAACGTCTTTGCCTAGGATACCCAATGAGGCTGGAATTAGTCGGGGTGGCATTTAAACCAATCAACCAACCAACCAACCAACACTCTCAGTGATAAATTCTGTTAGCTCAAGGACCTGCTAGACGTAATCAATAAAAATAATATAATTTACCAAATATCATGCAATTAACGACTGTGAGGTCAATTACACATACTTAAAACCTAGTAGATTGGGGTGAACTAGATTATTGGGACAGAGGAATTTAGCTAGACGTAGAGTTACTGACTCTGGTAAGTTAAGTTATATAACCTAGAAAACACAAAGGTCAGCCATTGCATTTCACTCACTTGCCCATGATCACACAATAGGTTGTATGGGACAGGGTGAGAGTATTCAAGAGTAATATAGTTAGGTGAAGTGAGAGAGAGAGAGAGGCTAACCACTGAATCTTTGGTTATCGATTCAACATCACACACGTGCAATCAAAATGACCCAACGCCTATATCGGATATATGCAAAGTGGCAGGTAACAACAAAGGGAAGTTGGCGAGACAGAAAGAGAGAAAATATACACAAGACAAACTGTGAGAACGTGTGACTAAATTGAAATGATAATAGTAAGAATAATAATCTACTTTATTCCAAAATCAGTACTGATAATACAGAATGGAATTCTCAGCATTTCTCACAATATTGCATTTGATTCACTCAAAATAGACATAAAATTAACCAGAGGAATTTGTCCACATCTACGGTATAAAGTCAAAAATATTCAAAGTACAAAATGAGAATAATAATAATAATGATAATACCAGTGGGTTTGTTTCAAACAGTATTGTCGATTCAGTTCGGAAATTTCAGCATGTTATGGATTAGTGAATCTAATGTTCTGTTGATATGGCAGGGTGAGGGGAAAGGCGAAAAATAACAGGTATCACACCGTTTAAATGGCGGTTACACTTATGGGAAAATAAACAAACAGACGAAAAATGGAGAGGAGTATAAATATAAGAAGAACAATAACAAGATGATTATGAGCAGCAATAATTTCTGCTCGAAACCATTTCATCTAGTTATTAACACTGCGTCATCACTGTGTATTACTTGAAATAAACTTAGCTAACATGGAATTACATTCTACTACAGTGTCCAAGCTTTACACTTACATCAATAATGGTAATAATAATATTTCTAAATACGATACAATACACTAGCATAGCTCAAGTAATTTTCCGATTTAAAGTACATCAAAGTACCACGTTTCATAATCAACAACCAAGCAAATACAAGTACATTAATCAGTGGTTGTATAGAGACAATACGAAGGAAGGACGACGAGTGAAATAAATAAATGCGTTGTAACAGCGATGTGTTAGTGTGCACGATCCACTGAGACCAACTCAAAGGCATATCAAGTAAACTCTAAACATAGATCCCTTTGATTATGTCTATTTCAGGCAAACACACACGCACACGCACACACACACAATTTTAAGCAAAAGTCAGTAAAATTCATGTAGTGACTTTGTATCTTCATTTGACTACACATCAATTTCTCCCCATATAACTGACTGGTCTTAAAAACTGCAAAAACAATAGGGTTCAAAAACAGTGAATACATCTGCGCTATTCTCAACGATTTCGATCTATATCACCAACTGTCTCCAGCCGTCATTGATTCTTACCGTCCTGTGGACCTCAACCAGTGAGGAAGTCTACACTTGTCTGTCTATGTGGCTGGCTGGCTGGCTGAAACTAACTGTTATGGATTTCATTGACTTTTGGAGGCTGAAAAGTATCAAATTATACGTCCATTGCAAAATAGTAAAAATAATGAATTCACTACACATCATGGGTGTTAATTGAGATTGAAGAAGGACACGACCTGGTTCAGCGTACACCACCTGAGCAGAGAAACTGAAACGAGGCACAGGCCACAATAAATGCCATTACTGACTTTCGTTTACCACAATATGGCTTCACAGAGCCCAGGATTTGGTTCGGAGTTATTGGGCCATTGTTGGAAGCACGCGGCATTAAGTCTCAGATAACCAAATATACCATCGTGCTGGCAGAAATGCCTCCGTCAGTGTTAACAGAAATCAGCGATTTCATCGAAAACTCCCCGACGGAAAACCAGTATGACAAACTTAAAGCCCTTCTTATACAACGCACCAGTTTGTCGGACGAAAAAAAGAATTCAACAATTACTTACGGGCTGTGAGTTAGGATCGCGTAGACCATCGCAGCTCCTCAGACACATGCGCCAGTTAATTGGACACTATAAAAAGGACGAGGCCGTGCTGAGACAGATGTGGTTGCAACGTTTACCCAGAAACGTTCAAGAAATTTTAATCATCTCAGGAAAACCGTTTGACTTAGATCCACTAGGCTACATGGCAGATAGTATTTGGGAAGTTTTATCAGATAACAGCGTAGGTCATATAGCGACTGGCAGTGTAACACCATTTCAGCACACACCCACGGCAGACACACCAATACTTGACGCCACTGCAAACTTAGCGACAAGGATTGAAAAGTTGCAAACTAAAGGTCTGATCGACGAGTCCAGACGCGAAGTTCACAAGCAAGGCCTTTCTCGACAGAGTCCACGCACGCCTTCTAGGGAAGGTAACATATGCTGCTTTCATAGGAAGTTTGGACGTCAGGCCCTAAAATGTGTCAAACCATGCATTTTTAGTGAAGATAACCAGGCTCACTGAAACGCCTCAGCCAGACAGTGATGGCGACAGCTGTTACTAACAAGCAAACAAGTCGCTTTTTCTATGTGAAGGACAAAACTTCAGACACCCTACTCCTGGTAGACACAGGAGCTGAAGGTAGCATGATCCCTCCTTCACTATCCAGGCGATCTACTCGGAAACCAGGAAAACTGTCTCTCCGTTCAGCCAACCACACAAGCATACAGACGTACAGGCAAACAATTTCTTGTATTGGATCTGAGCTTACGCCGTAGTTTCACATGGATTTTTAAAGTAACCGGCGTGGATCATGTCATACTCAGGGCTGATTTTTTCAGTAAATTCAATCTGTTAGTTGATGTCAACAGTAAAAAACTGATCGATAACGGCACCCAACTAAAAATTTATGGAATCATCTCCAGTTACTCTGTTTATAAAATCTGCATTGAGAGACCAGCGGATTGTAGTTTTTCTGCTCTACTCCACCGCTCCCCTAGAATACTTAAACCGTCGTATAACATCGAGGATGTACCACATACAGTCACATACAAAATTGTTACCACTGGTCAACCTGTTCGAACTCCTCTCCATAGACTACCACCTGACAAATTAGCAGCAGCTAAGGCAGAATTTGAACACATGATACAGCTCGGCATCAGTAAACCTTCCAATAGCCCTTGTTCCTCACCCTTACACGTTGTGCCTAAAGCTGAGCATGACTGGAGACCATGTGGAGATTATCGGTATTTGAACAACGCCACAGTCCCGGACCGTTATCCGACTCCCCGCCTACATGATTTCTCCTTGATATTACATGGTAAAACCATTTTTTTGAAAGTGGATTCGGTCAGAGCCTGTCATCAAATACCAGTCGCTCCAGAAGATATTGAAAAAATAGCCATCATAACACCTTTTGGTTTGTTCGAATTTCTGCGCATGCCGTTCGGTCTAAAAGAACGTCACACAATCCTTCCAACGTTTCATGGATCAGGCCACAAAAGGCTTGGATTTTGTATTTGTATACATCGACGACGTTTTAATTGTTACCTAATCGGTTGAATAACATACAGATTACCTCACCATCTCATTTCAGCGTTTTGAGCAATATGGTGTCGCCATTAATCCCAAAAATTGCATATTCGGTGCCTCCTCTATACAATTTCTGGGACACCACATAACGGAAAATTGTATTAGGCCTAAGGAGGAAAAGATGAAAAAAGCCAAAAATTTCTCCAAACCAGATTCACTCAAGAAGGTCAGACGTTTCTTGGGGATGTTTAACTTCTATCGACGTTTTATCCCTTCATGTGCCTCCATTGTACAGTCTCTAACCGATCTTCTCAAATGCGACCCCAAAACGTTTCAACTGTCATATCAA